GAGAGTTTAACGGTAATCCTTGAAAACCTTATCGCGGCGCAGAATGCACTCGTGCACATGCAGCCTCAGACACAGTCAGGCAGCAGTACTTTGGCCGCAGCCACTCGTTCTGTGCGCATTGACTGCGGCAAGCCCCAGCCCAAATGGATGAGGCTTCCTCTGCAGTATGGTACTCTCACCTTGCTACTCGCGGAGGCGGAGGCTTACTGATGCGGGGGTGGTAGCGGAGGAGGAACTTTCCACTTAGGTTCGGGGCTGCCCTGCAAAATCATGGGTCGCAGCCCAAAGATCGCGCGCCGTTTTTTCAGAGGTTAGGGGTGAACCTGAAAACTCATCTCGCAGCGCACGGAGTTATAGCGGCACGTACTATGCACTTCCCCTCCCTTTTCTCCGCGGCTTTGACACGATGGTGGTATTTTGCCATGTGCAGGTTTGGGGTTGCCCTTCAAAGCCTTGTGTAGCATCCCCAGGATTGTCTTTTTTATGTCATTGCGCTCTTCACGCCCTACCTCACTTAGCTACGCTTGGAGGTGGTGGTTTACTTGTCATCCACTGAGGTGGCATCGGAGGAAGAACGTGCTACATGGGTTCGGGGTTACCCGGCAAAACCTTGGATAGCAGCCCAAAGATTGCACGTTTTTTTTAATCTTACGGTTAGGGGTAAACCTTAAACACCTTGCAGCGCGCAGAGTACTAGCAGCACATCAGCAGCACCGTCTTTCGCAGCAAAATGTCATCACGCACTCTCAATGTATCCTTTGCTGCGCCAGGCTATACTTGAGCAGTCTGCCCACGCATGGGCCCCAGCAGAACCAGCCTGCGCAGACTGCACTAAGTACAGCTTGCGTGATGGCGGGGGTGGTGGATCACTTGTGGGTGCGGGGGTTGCGGAGGGGGATCTCTACTGGGTTCGGGGTTACCCTGCAAAACCCTAGGTCGCAAAACAAATATTGCAAGCTCTCTTTTTGCAGGTTAGGGGTACACCTTAAAAGCCTTAGTACAGCCCAAGGGTTGCACGTTCTTATTTGAATGTTAGGGCAGGGCTGGACCTAAACGGTGTTTTTGTGATTTCGTGGGCCGTTTTCGTTTCGACTTCGTTCTGCGGCCAAGGCGGACTGAAGACTAAACGAGGGAAAACAAAAACAAAACGAAAACGAACAACACCGTTTAGGTCCAGCCCTGTGTTAGGGGTAAACCTTTGAAGCCCTACTGCAGCACTCACCTTGCGCACTTGGGTCCCCGCAGGGGCTGATCCCTACGCTGTCTTAGAAGTGGCGGTGGAGAACGCTCTCTTTCTTTTGCACCTTTGCAGTGCTCGCAGCAGGTACCGATTGAACATGGGCATTCTTCACGTTAGCGGTCTATTTGTTCGCGTCTACTGCAATAAGGTACAAGCTGCGTTACCTGGCGGGCGCCTACTATTCTACCTCCGCTTTTTTCATTGTCTCTCTTTAGCTCATTAGCCGCGACGAGCGCCAGGTACCTCTGCGCCGAATAGTTTACAATCGCATTTCTTTTATTGTGGCTTGAAGAACAGAACGCGCGTAAGCGTAAGGTCTGGGCAACTCATTGTGGAGGCGGAGGAGGAACCAGAAAGAGGGATGGACACGAGGAGGAGCGTGTCGGTGGTGAGGAGGGCGAGGAGGAGGAATCCAATGGGCGCCAGGTGCGATGCGGGCCTGGGCGGCTTGAGCGTTTTTTGTTCCCCAATCAGAGCTTGCCTCTGTAGGGGTCCAAGCGGATTTATATGGTTAGGTTCGGTTTGTCGCCGATTTTGTGCCCGGGGGTGCCCGGGTGCCTGGGTGCCCGGGTGCCCGGGTGCCCGGGCGTGCCCGGGGGTGCCCGGGGGTGCCTGGGGGTGCCCGGGGGTGCTCTATAGCCCTAAGCCCTATAGCCCTGTAGCCCGATAGCCCAATAGCCCTAAAGCCCTACAACTCTATAAGCCTATAGCTCTACAGCCCTACAGCTCAACAGCCCGATAGCCTTATAGCCCCCTAGCACTATAGCCCTGATTGGGTTTTTCTCCGGTATCATTCCAACGAAGCAGCGGACGATCTTTGTTCGTAATCGACCACGCAGGGAATATATGTGTATGTGGTTCAAAAGGAAGCCCTTCTCCATTCCACTCAAATGATTCCTGTTGTATTCGGACACCAGAGGAATAATCTTGTAATGCGACATTTCCTTGACGGTGGGGTACCGAGGTCGGAATGCAAAAGGATTCTTTTGTGGCGGGGTGCATCGCGGATTCTTTTGTGGCGGGGTGCGAACGGATTCCTGTTGTGGCAGAGTGCAAAGGAATCCCCCCCTAATGTGAAAAAGGCTGAGATCATCCTTCTGAAGTGGATTACAAAACGGTTTTCCGTGGTGGATTGCTGCGGGATTCCTCTTGGTGGAAAAAAATTCTTTTGTGGCTGAATACCAAAGGATTCCTATGTGGCGGGATGCGAAACATAATCCCGTTCTGACCAGGTACAGTAAGGGACCCTCAGGTGGTGGAGTGCAGCAATATTCTTTTTGTGGCAGGGTGCGAACACGTTTGTTCTTGCTGCAGGGTAGTAAGGGATCCTTCTCTTGGTGTGCTACACAAAGATTCCTTTCGTGGCAAACTACAAGTGCAATCGTTTTGTAATTCATTACCAAGGGATTCCTTCTGTGGCGGAATATGCAGCGGGACTTTTTTTGTGGCCGAATAGAAGATAAAATATTATTCTTTTTGTGGTGGAATGCAGAAGCCTTTTTCTGTGGTACTGTACGGAAGAATTTTCTGCATGGCGGAACTCAGGTTTTTTGTGGATTCGATTGATTACATGGGATTTTTTCTGTGGCGGCATGCAAAAGGATACCTTTGTCACATAACCGACTATTAAAGGAGTCCCATTGTGGCAGAATATAATCATTTTTTTTGTGGCGGGATATTTGGGTATTTCTCTAATGGCGCAGTATAACAAACTCGTTCTATTGCGGATTGCGGAGTACAACAAGATCCCCTTTGGGAGCGAAAAGCGCGGACAAACGCTAGAAGCACCAAACACAAACACAAACAACCAAACAAATCAACAACACCCACAACACTATGATTTAGAGCAGACTTCCTTGGGCCATTGTCACAATTGTGCGAACATCATTTTTTTGTCAGCGCTTTTCGCTCACGAATGAACTTCTTCTGCTTTTCTGCTTGAAGGGAATCCTTAGTAATCCTTTTTGCATTCCGCTATTCAATTCTTCAGTCCGTCACAGAAAGAATCCTTTTTCTTTCTGCCACACAGGAAATCTTCTTGTATTCGGCTACGGATGGAATCCTTCTGTATTCCGCCGCGAAGGGAATTCCTGTTGTCATCCGGCGCAACGGGGGTCCTTTTGGTATTTGGCAGCGTAAGGAATCATTTTGCATTTTGCCGCAAAAATGAACTTGCGCATTACAAGAGCATCCCGTGTATGATGGGATACAACAGGGTCCACTTGAGTGGAATGGAAGAAGGTTTTTTGAGTGTCATACACATCGATTCATTGTGTGAGTTAATGCGTGTGTGTATATATGTTGTTTGTTCCGTCTGACAGAACGACACGCTCAAACTACCCAGGCCTGCCTCGTGCCTGGTGCGGGAGGAGGAGGAAGAGGAGGAGGAGGAGGATGATGAGGGAGAGGAGGAGGAGGAGGAGGAGGAGGAGGAGGAGGAGGAGAGGAGGAGGAGGAGGAGGAGGAGGAGGAGGAGGAGGAGGAGGAGGAGGAGAGGAGGAGGAGGAGGAGAGGAGGATGGAGGAGGAGGAGGAGTAGGAGGAGGAGGAGGAGGAGGAGGAGAGGAGGAGGAGGAGGAGGAGGAGGAGGAGGAGGAGAGAGGAGGAGGAGGAGGAGGAGGAGGAGGAGGAGGAGGAGGGAGGAGGAGGAGGAGAGGAGGAGGAGGAGGAGGAGGAGGAGGAGGAGGAGGAGGAGGAGAGGAGGAGAGGAGAGGAGGAGGAGGAGGAGGAGGAGGAGGAGGAGGAGGAGGAGGAGGAGGAGGAGGAGGAAGGAGGAGGAGGAGGAGGAGGAGGAGGAGGAGGAGGAGGAGGAGGAGGAGGAGGAGGAGAGAGGAGGAGGAGGAGGAGGAGGAGGAGGAGGAGGAGGAGGAGGAGGAGGAGGAGGGAGGAGGGAGGAGGAGGAGGAGGAGGAGGAGGAGGAGGAGGAGGAGGATACATCCATTCCGTTCCACTGCAGGGAGTTCTGTTCTGCTCCATTGCTCCACTCCATTCCATTCCATTCCATTCCATTCCATTCCATTCCATTCCATTCCATTCCATTCCATTTCATTCCATTCCATTCCATTCCATTCCATTCCATTCCATTCCATTCCATTCCACTCCGCTCCGCTCCTTTCAGCTCCGTTCCGCTCCGCTCTCCATTCCGCTCCGCTGCGTTACTTCGTTCCGTTCCATCCTGTTCCATTCCGCTCCGCTCCGCTCCAACACCGTTGCCACTGCCGTCCCCGGCCAGGCCCGTTCTGGGCGCCAGGGTGATGCACGGACCCGCTTGGACGAGGCCAGGAAGAAAAGCGCGCCAGCCTGGAGCCCAGGACGACCCTGGCCAAGGACGGTTGTGGTGCAGTACCGTCAACCCGCATAGCAAGGGCGAGCAACTTCCCCTTCGGCCCATCCTTTACCTTTGCATCCTTCCCCTTCGGCCCATCCTTGGCCGCTCGCGCTGGCCGCGCGCCGCTCGCAACGTGTCGACACGGCCCTCCGAGCCCCTCGCGTCCTCATCATGCGTCCTTCCTGGACGGGTTGACTGTAGCAGGGGTGGACCAACACGGTGTTTGGGCGATTTCGTGGGCCGTTTTGTTTCGACTTCGTTTTGCGGTGAAGGCGGATTGAAGACAAAACGAGGGAAAACGAAAACACAACGAAAACGAAAAGCACCGTTTAGGTTCAGCCCTGGACTGTAGTGGCCGCCTCCTGCGGACCCCTCCCGCCCCCCAGGCGGACCATGGCCGGGCGGCCAGCGCTCCCGACGCGCAGCTGTTCCCGTACTCCATCGCGCCCCCGCCGTGGGCTCCCTGGGCCGGCGCGGCTGCGGGCGGAGCGTTTGGCCGTCGACTTCGCCGCCTGCCGCCGTCACCGCCTGCCGCCTGCCACCGCCGCCTGCCGCCGCCTGCCGCCGCCGCCGCCGCCTGCTGCCGCCGCCGCCGTCGCCGTCGCCGTCGCCGTCGCCGTCGCCGTCGCCGTCGCCGTCGCCGTCGTCATCGTCGTCGTCGTCGTCGTCGTCGTTCCCTCCTTCCCCCTCTTCCCCTCCCCCCTCCCCCCGCCCTCGTGGACGCGGCCCGCGAGGCGGGAGTGGATGCGGGGGCGCCCCGGAGAACTCCTGGGAGGCGCTCTTCGACTTCCTGGACCCCGAGGCGGTCGCGGCGGCCCAGGCGGGGGCCGCGGCGATGGGGAGCCCGCAGGCCGCGGGCCAGCAGGCCGCGGGCGCGTGCCTGCAGTGAGGCAGGCCTCCTCGGGCTCCTGCTCCTGCTCGTGCTCCTGCTCCTGCTCCATCCCCTCCCCTCCCCTCCCCCCCCCCCCCCTCCTTCTTCGTCCTCCTCCACCCGCTCTCCGCCTCGCCGCCGCCGTCCTCGCCCTCCTCACGGTCATGACCCTCCTCCTCCTCCTCCTCTTCCGTAGCCATTTTGGCTCAAGATGATTTTGTTCCCTGGGCAGCAACTGGATACCGCTGGTACGCGGCAGTCTCTAAGTGTCTTTTCAGGGGAACCGCACCCTGCAGCCAGCGTTGCAGTCAGCGCCCTCTCTCGCTCCCAGTCTCCGCAGACATGGCGCCCACCAAAGCTCCATGGCAAGCTGCTGAGAAACCCGACTGCATGAGCAAGTTCTGCTCTTCTCGCGGCACTGGCGCTCCTCTCATCAACTGGAGCTCGAACGACAGGTGCTTCGAGTGCCGCCTCCACAAGAACACGGCTTACAAATGCAATCGACCCCTCAACCAGCCGTCGAATAATGCCAGGTCCGCCAATTCCGACAGCAAGGAACTTCAGCAGCTGGTTTCAAAGCTGCGCAAGTTGGAGAAGGACAACAATGTTCAAGAACGGTGGATCTCAAGAGTTCGTGGTAGAGGTTCCCAGCGACGACGACGAGCTCGAGAATGGTATCCACAGTCTTGAGGAACACCTCCAATGATTACGTGGGCTAAAGAGCAGACAATGGGTGTCAAGAGCCGAATCGATGAGAAGGGCAAGCAGCTTTAAGACAAGAAGCCATTGGCCGCAAAGCTGCAGGCCCTCTCCATTGCCCGCGGGGGGGGCGCCGCCGTCGCCCGCCGCGCTGCCGCCTGCCGCGGCCGCCGCCGCTGGCCGTCCACGCGCGCCGGGGGCACGGCGGCACAGGCCGCAGGAGCACGCGCGGCTTCTGTTGCGCGCGCGGCCGCTGCCGACGCGGCCACGCTGGCCATCTGCGAGGCCCGAGCGGCCGCGGCGCGGCCGTCGTCGGCGCCGCCCGCGGCCGAACGTCTGGCCGCTCTCTGGGCGCGCGTCCTCGCCCGCGTCGGCCAGGGCGCCGCGGCGTAGCCCCGCTGCTGGGCTGCTGCGGCGGCTGCCCCGGTGGGGTTCCGGGAGCCTGCATAGCTTGCTATGCGGGCGGCGGCGGGCTGGTCTGGGAGATTTCGTGTCGTGTTGCTGTGATGTGTTGCTTGTGCGGCCGAGCGGCCGCCTCTCCCGCTTACAGTTGCTGTCTGATTTGGTGCCCAGAGCTCTCGCGGGCGCGCGCGGGGACGCGCTGCTGCCTCGGGGGCCTCTTCTTGTCCCTCTCCAGGAAGTTCGATCAAGACAAGTTCAAGAAGCAGAAGGCAGACCGAGCTGGCCCGGGCGCGAGCTCAATTTACAGTCGGTGAAGCTGAGGAGTCTCTGTGGGAGAAGGAGGAGACGGCCAACGCCCAACTGGAAAGGAACCTCCGCACCTCGGCCCAAGAAAAAGAGCCCGAGGTCAAGCCTTAGATTTGGCAGTTATCGAGAAAACCCGCCGGAATCTGTGGAACATCTTCAGCAGGGAACTCAACCTCCTCACAATCTTCAAAACATATCTAGTCCAAAGCTGGCGAACATCTCAAAGCTAAAGAAAGTTCCAGAACATCTCGAACACAAAATCTGGGAACATCTCAACCTGGAAAAAAAAATGAAACCGAAATTCCAGAAACAACTTGAAGCAGATATATTGAAACAAAAACAGCTGTCTGATGTTTGGGCGGCCAGATTATTTCTAGAGTTATAAAGTTTCCTAGGCCACCGGGGTTTGCATTTCGATGTCTTGTTGCTTCAAACCTAAGAGTTGTTCCCACAGTTTTGTTAGGAGTTCGTCGGACGGTCCGAAGTTTGTTTAGAGTGTTCTAAGGCTTGTGGAGTGTTTTTTGTTATATTAGTTTTTTGTTTATCGTGTTTTCAGTTTAAGCATTTTTTTTTTTCAAAATATTTTCAGGCGTTGAGCGTTTTTGTGAACGATCCTTTTTCTAGAGTTTTTTGAATGCAAGTTTTCGGCGTTTCGATTTGCAAGTGTTGTTTCTAGAGTTCTCCCATATTCTTTCATAGAGTGTTTTTAGAGTTCCGTTTTCAAATTTCGTGAGGTTGAGATTTCTCCAGGTTTCGGCTTCGAGTTGTTGTTTGAAGTTTGTTTTATTATCAAACATATGAAACCAAGAGTTTTTCATATATATGTACATGCATATTTATAATGTATATATATATATATATATATATATGTATTATATGTATATACATATGTACACACACATATATATATATATACATATATATAGTTATATATAGGTACATATATATGTATATATATATATATATACATATACACATCTAGATTTTTGGAAGTTGTCCTCGAGTTTTTGAGATTTCCGCAGGTTTTTGACTTCGATATTTTTCCCGTTTTCTCAGAAGTCGAGATGTTCGCAGGTTTCGGCTGCGAGATTTTTGGAAGTTTGCGCAGCGTTGGAGATGTTCGCAGGTCTTGGCTTAGATCTGGCACGACGTTTTTTTTTTTTTTTTTTTTTTTTTTTTGTTTTGTAATTATTTTTTTTATTAAACCATAATATATATACCGTCCCCAGTCGCTACTCCCGAGCCTAAGTCTAGCCAGCTTCAGGCGACTGTCGGGCTATCCATGTGCCGTTGACATCGAGTTTGATGATTTTGGGGGCATGCCGGAAGTGGGTGGCGTCGCAGACCCCAGAGTGGCGGCGAGGGTGATTCACTAGACTCTCAAGTGTAGACGTGATGCGGCTGGTGCAGCCCCTCCCGCGGGAGGCGAGGACGCAGCCGAGGCTGCCAAGAAGGCAGGCTCCACGTAGGCCACGTGCAACTTCTGGCAGCCCGAGACAAAAGGTGCCGCTAGCGCTCAATACATCATCAAGGAGTTCATCAGTGATCAGGCAACCGACGATGAGGTGCTGGCGAAGGCCGCGTCGCTGTCCTCTTCTGGTTATTGTTCTTGGTCGTCGCAGTACTGATTGCCCCTGCAGTCAGGCTCGGGCATGATTGCTCGATGGGGGCCCAGTTCAGCAAGTGCGTCGCTGGGGATAGGATCGCCCCACGAGTCGGCCCAATCATCGCACGGCGGGTTTCCATATCCAGATTATTTCAAGCTCAGCTTTGACGATTTTGCCGAGGGAGAGGAAATTTGCATTGACCTCTGCCCCATGGGTAAGCAGCTTTGAAGGAATTTCGAAAGATGAGCCCGTTCGTGATCGTGTTACTCTGGCTGCTGGGGGCTCGCTGGCCACTCTGAGATGTGAAGGATATCTTCAGCCAGTGCAGAGTCTGACTACTGGTTCGGGGATCACCATCATTGCGTGCAAGTGCAATGTCTGGTCGACGGCGCAAGCGTCTCACTAATGGAGTGCAGGGATTGAGCTACGCGAGGCGACCTTCTTTGCGCGTTTCACGAGTTGAGAGACTTCCAGCAGTTGTCCCAATGAAGCGTGCGCGGGCGTGGTCTAGAGCGCGTGGCCCTGGGCTGGAGGCGGCCTCGTGCGCGACGACAGGAACTTCGGCATTTTGGTCTTCGAGTGGAGTAGGATTGTTTTCGCGTGGCCACTTTCCAGTCGCTAATTTCTACCCGGCTTTAGAATTCCCGTAATCGAGGACTGCTCTCCCGAGGGCGGTCCTCGGCCGCATGCAGGCGTTCTTCAGTTCGGTTTGCGTGTTGGTCTGGGCGGGGATGTCGAGCTCTTGGGGGGCTCTCGTGGATGCGGTCTGGGCCGCGTGCCTGCCCTCGATGAATCCGGGGGCCGAGCTTTTTCGAACGACAGCGCGCTGCACTTGGGATCGTTGAACTTCCTCTGCGCGGAGGTCGTGCATCCAGGGGGGGCGACGCGTGATGGCTCCTGCGCTGGGTTTTCTTTGTCAGCGATGTCCTGCCCCCGCTCATGAGATCTGGCGTTGGGGAGGGCGCCCCTGCGAGCCCTCGTCGCGCCGTGATTCCCAGAATTTCAGGTGTAGACAGTCGCGCTTTTATCGGCCGCAGGGTGAAGTCCGAGCCTTTTCTGGATCCCAAAGAATAGCGAGCCTTTCGTGATGGGCCACCCTGAGAGGTGGCCAGGTTTCGAAGTGGTAGAGGGCGGTTGGTGGACAGCATGGCGCGCAAGTGGTTTGATTATGCCGTGCGTTTTCTTTGTCTGTTCACCCTGGTGCCGGTGCGCGATGGGCCGCTCTGCTGCGAAGTGCGTCGTTTGGGGCGAGTTCCCCTTTCGTGTGCCCGGGGAACGGTGTCGAACGCAAAGCTGGGCCAGCGCGGTCGCTCATCGCTGGGTGATGATGCGCGGGCTCGCCGAGTCCCGGCCCCGCGCTGTCCGGCGCCCTCCCTCGACCGAGGGGCCTTCGTGGCCAGTGCTGCGCATCGCATGGTGGTGTGTGTGTGCGTGTGTGCGTGCGTGCGTGCGTGCGCGCATGTGCGTGTGCGCGTGTGTGTGTGTGTGTGTGTGTGTGTGTGTGTGTGTGTGTGTGTGTGTGTGTGTGTGTATGTGTGCGTGTGTGTGTATGTGTGTGTGTGTGCGTGTGTGTGTGTGTGTGTGTGTGTGTGTGTGTGTGTGTGTGTGTGTGTGTGTGTGTGTGTGTGTGTGTGTGTGTGTGTGTGTGCGCGTGTGCGCGTGCGCGTGGTCGCGGGGGGGGGGGGGGGGGGAAGGGCGGGGGGCGGGCGGGGTGGGGCGACGTGGCCTCGCGCGCCGCCTTTCTAGAGCAGCCCGGGCGCGCGGGCGCCCGCGCTGCGTCTGCTTGAGCGCGCGCAGGGGCGCTGCAGCAGTGAGGCGATCTTGGAATGACTTGTTGGGAGATGGCGCTCCAGAGGGGCGGCGGCCTCGCTCGCGAGTTTTCCGCGGGCCCGAAGGGTTAGCGACGCGCCCGTTCTAGCTGACAACCTTCCCGCGGTGGGCCGCGCAGCCCTTTCGGCCGCGAGTGGGCCCCGGGCCTCGATCTGGAGGGCGGCCGAGAGAGACTCGGGGCCCTGCCTCTTGGGCTTGAGCATTACTGGCGCCGCTCCCCATCCCGGGAACGAGCCTGCAAGGGCCCCGGCCGCGTTGCTGGCGCTCCGACCAAGCGCGGGGCTGGGCCCGGGCGCTTCCCATCCGCGTTGGCTTTCAACGCTGCCGGCGGAGCTGGCTGCCGGACTCATCGCAATTCTTCGCTGGTGGGGGCAGCAGCCAGAGCCGATGTATATTTGTTCTACTTTGGTTCTTCTTCCCGAGCCCCGAGTGGGGGTGCGCCCAATAGGGCTGCTTCCGCTGTTCGCTCGCACCTGGTCTCGCCCCGGGCATGAGAAAGTGGCCCCAAGCTGCCGATATTTCTCTGGGGGGCCCCCAGAATCGTCGCGCGGCGAATCTGCTTGGATTCGCGACGCCCCGGCGGCGGTGGCCCGCCAATGAGGCGCTGCCTGTTTCAGTGCCTGTTCGGGCCTCCGCGAGGTTTACGAAACTGCGTATCGCAGTGACATTCTACGTGCTGCTAGGGGCATGGGCCTCCCGCGGGCGCCCCCGAGGCCCCGGCGCGCCCCGCGCCGCGGGCCCCGGCTGGCCTCCTGCCGGCCGAGGGTCGCTGATGAGATCCGCGGCGGAGGCGCCGTCGCTGCGGGCTGCTCGCGCGCTGCGGGATTGGCGGAACACCTGGCGATCGCGTCGTTGAGAACGATCGGCGTCGAATTCAGCCCCGCGAGAATCGACCGCCTGATCTGCGACATATGCCTCCGCGTGATAATCATGTTCTTTCGCAATTGGAAGAAGGGTCGAAGCTGTTGATCTATTGAATGCGGGGCAAGGGGCGCCCGATCTCGCGGGGCGGCGCGCGGCTTCCCGCGCGGCGATGGGGGCTCTCCAACGATGTCATCGCTCAGGTTGAGCGCCTGCGGCCCAGAGCTGTTCCGCCGGCTCGAAGGCGCCCGCCGATGGGGCTTGGGAGGAGACGCGGTCGACGGATGGCGCGGGGGGATCGCAAGCGAGGTCTCCAGGATCCCAGATGCTCTTCAAAGTGGGCTCGCGTGTCAGAGCTCTCCAGGGGGCTCGGCGAGCAGAAGTCTTCGGCGCGTCGCGCGGGCGCCTCGGCCAAGTCGCTCCAGGGGTGCAGCGTCCAAGGGGTCGCGGGTTCGAGTTCGGGTTGCCGGGGTATCCGCGTGTCGTGCCGTTAGGTGGGCCAGTGCAAACAGGGGTCGTTGGTGGGCTGCTCCTTCGCGGCCGCTGAGCGCGGCTGGCAGCAATGGCCCCCCCGTCGCAGCGTCAGGGGCGATCTGCGCTTTTCGTGCCGTCCTGAGTTCAGACGCGGCCGCCTGGATCGCGGTGATTTTTGCTGCTTGTAGGCGACAGGTCGCTTCTGATGGGCCCGCAGCGATGGGCGAGTTGCGCAATTCCAGCGGCGGCATTCCTTCTCGGTCCTCATCGGATCGGCGGGTCTTGAACGGGGGCGCGCCGAGTTCGGGGCGGCGAGGGGCGGGCGCAGGACCGCGGTGGGACCTGCTCGGCGATGCCGGGCCATGTGGTCCAGCGTGGGTTCCGGGGGCGCATCGATAGAGAGGCGGGCCGCGAGTTCGCGGGTGAAAGCGAACGTAGAGGAGGGCCCGCATCGCGGCCCGCGATCCACGAGGCGCTGCTCCCCAAGAAGGGTCAGCCTCCAGTCGGGGCGCGCAGGTCTCTCGCAGGTCTCGTGCCGGGGGCTGGCTGGTGCCGGCGCGTGGTCTGCAGGGCCTTCGAGGGGGGGCCATAAGTTCGCCTTCGTTTTCAGGGAGATGCGGGCTCGTTCTACCGCGGGGTCTTCGTGTGCGGCGTTTTTTTTACTTCCGTCAGCAGTGGCTTCCCGAGGCTCTCCGGGTTCTACTAGGCGCGTGAAGGGCGCGCCCCGTTCCCCCAGATGCGCTTCCCCAGATGCCTGTTGCAAGATCCCGCCCGTGCCTTCTCTCGCCGATGGCGTGGTCCATCGCGCCATTTTATCGCCGTGGGCCGCAAGTGCGCGGCCGTGACAGAAAACGGATTTGTTTTCACTGATGTCAGCGGTTTCCACGCAATTAGTTCATATCTCGGATGTGCGGGCTGGTCAGTAGCTGTATCCGACAGCGAGCGCCGCCTGGCGGCCGGGCGCTGCGGCGCGGTGCTGGCGGCGGCCTGCCCAACGCAGGCGGTGAAGGATGGGTGGGGGGTGGTGGACTCAAAATATGGTGCTATTTAACGACTGAGGTTTCTTTAGTTTTTCCGTGCAACAAAGCAGACGTATGCGATCTGGTTGAGAAGAGAAGCTGTTTTCACACACAACGACAACCAGTGCGAACATACGCGTTCAAGTTGCGAAGGATCAGTGATACCTACATCGCAGATGCTGGGCGCTTGCGAGTAATCTTTGCGTTGGAGGGCAGCAGGGCCTGGTCTACTGATTCGTTCGCCGTTACTGCATGTTTCATGCGGGACACGAAATGAAAAGGTGCCTCTGCTAAAAGAAATTGGGAAAACTGGGCCAGCATATCATGCTCTGCAAAAGTATGCGACTGGTCACCATGGCATTTCGATAAGAAGCCAATGAATAGTTTTGCCAACTTCGCGGCCGTGGCAATACACAGAGCATGTCGTTGAGTTTGCCACATTACGTTTCTGTAAAAGGCCTTCAGTTGCTTGTGGAATGCTTCGTTGCGAGTCGTTCCAAATATCACATCATAGTTTGCGTTGTTGGCGACGTACTTGCAAAAGTTCTGAATGTACCCCAGCTCCCGCGCCGTCGTCGCGTGTTCCAAGCTGCTAAGCACTGTGGCATTCTTCGATGTTTTGCGTTGCATCATGTCGGGGTGCGTTGCGCAAATCGCTGCCAAGTCCTGAACGAAGTCGGACATGAGGTCGTACGGCTTCTCCACGTATCTGCTGCTGTTTCGGATGCGATCGTACAAGCGCCTCGCATCTGACGGCCTCATAGCAGCGATTGCGGTCGCCAGTTTGGAAGGTTCCGCGCGGCCATCACTACACTGGAAATAACGAGATCTGCCGGATCCCCCGAGGCGAAGTTTAGCAATGCATCTACGCACGCAGGAAGAGAACACCGTCGTCCTCTCGTTGGACGCCTGCTCGACCTTGAGGGCAATGTGCAGCGGGTCTTTGCTGGCGCACTTTAGGTTGGGGAACGTGGCGCGCAACTGGCTGCGCTGATCCAAAGTCGAAGGGAAATCGGAGCAAACCATCTGCACCTTCTCCGCGTCCTCCCTGCGCACTGCATTCCGAAGAGCGCGCGCCTGCTGGACGGGGTCCTCCGACTTGGAACCGAAAATCTCGAGTATGCTGTCGTTGCTTTGGACAGTAATGAGAACGCGCAATGGAGACCGATCATGCCCTGCGACTGCATCTTGCTTCTGTCCATGCGGAACTTGGTACAGCACAGACATTAAAGACTTGTAGAATCGGTCCACGCCTAGAACGCGGACGTCGCATGCTGCGCGGCACCGTTCCACGGCGCGCCGAACACTGATGTGGTTGGCAACCTTCTCGTTTAAAGTATGGTAGAACGCCTCCCCAGTTGGGGGGGGGGGGGAAATGCGATCTGTCGCCAGACTGGGCAATGAGAAAAGAGACGATCCGCTGCGTAGCCCCCTTCGTCGACGGGTGCACCATGGCAGCGAGGTAAGCGTTGAGGAAGGTGCCCGTGCAATAGAACTTATCGGACACCTTGTGGTGCTTGTTGCAATCCTCCGTTAAACCATACCTCGTGTCTGCCAAGTCCAATGCAATTGTGATTTGCTTGTCCAACCGCTTCACATCGCGCGCGAGTTGGCCTTCGCGCCGCGACCACGAGGGGCGCTCCTCCAATTGAGATCTGATGCCGACTACGCAGCGGTTCACTATGTTTCCAGCGGGGATCTGGCCGTCGCGCCCGCACAGCTCGTTGAAGCGGAGCCGCGATACCATCTGATCCCACTGCCCACTTACATCGTATTGCACTTTTGTTGAAATACTGCTGCAGCGAGCCTTAATGTGATACCTGTTCATATGAATGATTAAATACCGTTTCTCGGTGAACTCCCTGGCAATGCACATAGGGCATCTCCAGTGATGCGCAGAGCCGAACTCCGCGTAGTCATCCCTGCAATTCGCCAAGTTCCACCAATGGGGCGCCTCCTCTCGCACGGCCGAAGCCAATCCCTCAGGCCATCGACCTGATTTCCCGCCCACTTGGCCTGAGGCGGCAGCCGCTGAGCCCTTGCTGGAAGACGCAGGCTTCTTCTGGATGGTCTTCCTGGCCCCTGCGCCACACAGCGAGTCGTACTCCCCGCCGCCAATGGCATCATCCGACCCGCTCAAAGTTTTCGCAGACGACGGCGATGAGCTTATCTCTGAAGCCACGAATATACTCTGCGTTCCAGCATCGGCGGCCGCAGGAATCTCGTTGAGTTCGGTCATTGAAATGAGCTCTGCCGCGCCGCTGCGGAAGCAAACGACAGCGTACTCGCCGACGCGCAGCGCGTGCGCGTGGCCGTCGCCGTCGTCCACTACGAAGAGGCCGCCGCTGCGCACGCGCGATGGCGGACAACTCTCCACTTGGTAACCGAAAGGGCGCAGCATGTTGCAGCCGTCCTGGAGATCGAATGCAGCCGCGCCTTAATGCGAGGGGGGCGAACGAGGCGCCGCGGGCGTTCCCGCGAGATTCAGGAACGACGGCAGCCGCCTCGTCGCCGCCGCAAGCTTTACGGTGCGGCAGCATTAGAGCTCTGTCCTGGGCGACCCAGAGCGGTCCGCTCCGTGGAATGGTAATTGGACATCCAAGATCTTGAAAAGCTATCGCCGCGCATATATCCACATGGGAAGTGCCGTCTCGGTTGCGGGCGCAGCGGGCGGCGTCCGCCACGGCCGCCGCGAGCTCTTGCTCTACGAGAATCCCACGTTTCCTGCGGTCGTTGCTGCACCGGGCACGCTTGGAGGATTGATTCCCCAAAGCATCGCAATCGGCAACGCTGCTGGCAAATGTTCCCCTTCGGGCACGCACGATGGCATCATAGAGTTCGCCTTCTGAATCGAACAGCCCGCCTCCCTTGAGAGTATATGGATGGCTGTCCCGCTGGGCGCCGTCATCCTCGGGGATGCGATGCCTGGCCTCGTGCACGTGCACGTCCTGCGCGTCTCTGATGTACGACCAGAATGTGGCAGTGTCTACGCTTAAAACCTTGCCCCACAGGTCGTCCATCAGCCGCGTGCCGAGGTCGTCGCACACGCTCGCGCTGAAGAAATGCCAGCACCTGGTTAACTTCTGGTGGACCACGAAATGTTTCCCCGCGCATGACGCTGAGTCGTCAGGCGGCATCACATGATCCAAAACCAAGTCGCTGCTGCTCCGTTGCGATGCGTTCGATATGGCATTGTTTAGATCGAGCACGGGGTACGGGCCGTCATCCATCTCATCCAGCGGCCACGTGTGGCCGATACCCAGATTCTGCACGGAATTCAGCAGGCATTTGGCAACGCCCAACAAACGCGGCAGAGGTTCTTCCAGTTCCCGAGCAAGTCTATCCTCAAACATCCTCACTGGGATAGAGTGCATGTCGTCTGGCGCCCACCCCTTCACGCGGATGACAACGTTCTGCTGCGCCGAGGTCGAGGCGAGAGACGCCTTTATCGAACCCAGCTCAGCGTCGCCCTGGCGCGACACAACGCACCCGTCAAAACTGCGAAGGAATGCAGACACCGAGCAATCCGTCTGCAAAGATGACAGCGTGGCCTCGCTGCAATCGTGCTATCTGAAGCTCATGATTGCGGCAAAACGGCTTAGCTGCGGTCGTGGCCTTTCTTTGTAGTAGTCCTGCAGCCACTGATGTTTCGATAAGCTGGCAACTTTGTTCACGGCGTCGTTGTATTCGTCTGCAAGTTTCCATAGGAATGGAGCCTCGCTTTTAGGGAAGTGGCCGTAGCTTATTGCTTGCATTGCAGTCTTAGCGTCGTTCTCGCAGAGGCCGCCATAGTGCTCCATGAACCGCAGCCACGCGCCCCTGTTCACGACGCGCAATGGCAGCATGGAAAACTTGCTGTCCGCGGCATCAAGGAAGCCCTCATCTTCAAGTAGGTTGAGAAGATGTCGGTTGTGACTGTCCTCCTGGTCCACATCCACTGCGTGGGTCCTGAACGCGAATGACTTTGCCAGCTTGGTTGCGCTCTGCATGGAATACTGCGCAGCCAGCTGCCGCCCGTAGCCGTCCTTGACGTAGTATGCCGTGCGCGTCTCCCACAGGCCCTGCCACGCTGGCTCAACTGGGCGACCTTCAGTCACCAACCTATCGATTGTCTTCTTTAGAAACTGTTGGTTCTTGTCCTCGCCCCTCTGGGCGTATGCTTGGAGCAGCTTGATGTTCACCCGCTCCACCAGCTCGGGCGCGGGCTGTCGCGATCTCTGCTGCACGAGCAACGGGCTATGATTTGTCTTCGGGCCCGACGTCATATCAATGAGCTCGTCATGGCTGAGTTCAGGGAGCTGCTTCACATCATCCATGATAGAAAACGCATTGCCCCACGTTTGCCAATCGCCAAATACATCTGCACCTCCGCAAGTCTCGACGCATTCCTCCATCTTCTGGACGTCGACCATGAGCTTCCTGAACTCATTCCTGACACCCCCCGACGGGCAAAATATTGAAAGTGTACCCCTTGACACTGCATCCTCGAATGTCTGCAACTTCGTTTTCTTGCCCTTGGTGCTGCTTTCCACCTTCTTGAGGCCGGGGAGAAAATTGAGATCTGAGAGGTCGCGGGGCTTTATAATGCGCACGTTGCGCGTGGCCTGGTGGACCCGCCGCAGCAAGTTATCTGCCTGGGCTGAATCTGCCGTGCCAGGCCCATCGGAGCTCGACTGGCCACTTAAATTCTTCGCCAACCAATCCTGGTCTTCGGCCAGAGACGGGTCAATCTCGCCCAAGTTGTTCAGGAGGGGGATCGCTTCGTCGTCCGTGTAATCTACATCAATCTCGTGAATGTAGCGTTTGAAAAATCTCGACAGAGTAATTGGGTCACGGAGTTGATCGTCGAGAATTTCTTCGTGCTTGAAAAGAAACTTGCCGTTGGCGTGGTCCACCTCGCCCTCCGTCTTCACGAACGTTGCCTTGCCCATCCTGCCGCAGATTATCCGCCGCTTGATCTGTTCGCATACACTTTCGTCCTCAGAGAATATGGTGCGTTTTGCCTCAATAACGGGAAGTGATTCGTAATTCACCTCCTGTGTCTTCATCCCCGTGAAACTCTTCTTTGTAGTAAAGCCATAATTCTGTCGCAAGTCCAATTCCTACGCGACCCCCGCGTCGGAGAGCAGAGGAACGCGGAAGGGCCGCCAACGCCGCCGAACGAAACAACGCCCTGTGAAATATGCAAGTTGATTGTTTTTTTCCCTTCCCACGGCGGCGTTGCGGCACCTTCCCCCCTCCTCCGCCCCCCGACGCGGGGCTCGCTCCTCGCCGACGACGAACCTCTTCCAAATGTCAGCGAGAACCCGGGATACAGAATCGAACTCCTGTATCCGAATACATCGCCTGTTCCAAGCGAATTGCGCGGAGCGCCTCCATTCGGATCGGTCCAGGAAGACGGCGCAGTCGAGGCTGCCGAAGCTGTGGCCGAACAGCGCCTTCTCGAACACGAACTCGCGGCCCTTGCCGTCCCCTCCCTTGCCCCACTCGAACGTCATCTTCCATGCCTCTTTGCCCTTGAAGGCGAGCTTCCACAATAACAATTTGACAGAGAAGAATGCGTCGTTCTGGTAATACATCGATTTGATCCACAAGTCGAGCTCCTCATCGTATCTGCTGATGCTCCACCCAGGCTTCGTGACATCCGCCTCTGTGACGTCGAACTTGAAGGGCACTTTAAAGTGACAGTCATTATCTCTACTCCGAGGAGCCTCGTTGCCAAACTCATCGATGTACTTGTCAACGAATGCCGTTCCCCGACACGCGGGGAGCGGCGTCGAGCATGTTTTGAGGAAGAGCTTTGTCATGGCAGACATCCCCGAATCCGTGTCGAAGTAGATGGCCAGCTTCGACAGCGCGTCTGCCAATCTTGGCAGGAAGTGGCAATTCCATGGCTTATTACTTGAAACACGACGCATGTAATCGCCCTCCTTCTTGGCATCAGAAACGAAGCCCGACAGCGCATCTCCATCGTTCCCCGCTGCTTGGATCCGAGCGCGGATTGTATCCCACATTATAGGCCCCACTTTTTCGCAATCCCATTCAAGTGGCGGTTCGCCCTTAGCGTGGGCAGCAGGAACCCTCAGTAGCACGCCCTCGGCGGCAAGGAACATATATTTGTTCATGTTCGTGAGAATCTCTGCAGGCAACCAAGCGCCAGAGCTTTCTTCATATTCAAACAAATTGTACTCATGCGCGCGAAGGTCTAGACACCTGAGGGCAAGGAGCAAAGCCAGCTTGGAATGCGACAACACCTTGAAGTCCGTCATCTTGGCGTCCGCAATCAAATACTTCAGAAGAGTTAATATTGTTTGCACGTCTGCTCCGACGCTGGGGAACGCCGCGGGTGCTTCCCGCCGCAGTTCCACCATGCGCGCCAGAATGGTCTTCCCTGCTGTGATCGCCTCGGGCGGCTGCCCGCCAGGACTGCGCGGCGGAGATGGCGGGGCTGCGGGGCCCTGGAAGGAATTGATGATCCCCTTTCCAAGCTTACGCCGCTTGGGGCTTACCCCCGCAGGCGTGCCAAGTTCAAGCGAGCTTGGCACTGGGCGTTCCAGTATTTGTCTTCCCAGCTGCTCTGTGTACGGAGACGGCGGCGCTGGCCGCGCCGCGTCTGGCCGACCACTCGACGGGCCCGCCGGGCTGGACGACGCCCCGACCAATGCATCGCGGCCAAGCGGCGGCGGCCAGACGACGGCGTGCCCGCTGAGCGGAAGGACGGGAGACGCGCCCTTCGCCAGCCTGTACACGTGCACTTTCCTGGTCAAGTGCAGCTCTGGGTTGTCGACCGTAGGCAACGGCTCGGATACTTCCGAGTTGGTGATGATCTGCTGGGCCCCGAAAAAGAATCGGCCGCCGTTGTCGTCGCAGTGCACCATGCCGTCGGGGTGAACCCGCACGCCCACCGCATGGGGGCCTTTCTGCACAATGAATTTGCCACCCTGGAACAACTCAGTATGCGGCACTTCCTCCAAATGAAGATTGTCCTGTGAACGGGCGGGGTAAGCTTGCCCGCCGAGCTGCGTCCGAGGCTTTGAATGCGGCTGCGCGAGGCCCAGGCCTGTGGCCAAGCGCCGCGTTCGTCGCCTCGGGCGCAGCTTCGGAGAAGGCGAACCCACCCCGAAAAAGCCTCGCGGAGAAACTCGTTGCCATCTTTGAGGATCCAGAACGGGCCGTGCGCGTCGTGGTGGACGTGCTAGGCCCCGAGGAAGCGCAAGCCGTGCTTGAGGCACTGGTCCGCGTAGCAATGTCCCTGAGCCATCCGCCTGGCCGATGCCGTTGCAGCTTTCTTCTTTCGGGTGACAGGCGGGAATGTGGACGGGCCCGCGAGATGCTGAAATTCACGAATGATGCGGTCTATATCCTCGATGTCTGTTGGGTTTGGCGCCCTGCTGACAGCGCCGCCGTTGCCGACAGGGCGACGGGCCTTGACTTTGCGGCGGGGGGGCGCAACCTGACAGGCATCTGGTTTCTCCTGCGTGCGATTCGGCGCGCCCTCAGACAAGCGGAAACGCGTCAGGTGGAAGTGGTGCAACTCCGCCGCGGTCGGAGCCCGCTTCTTCACCATCTTGACATTAGTGCCTGCTGGATTGATCTGTAGGCCCCATGCAGGCTTGTAGAAAAAATAGGAATTGAAGATTGCAAGGTCCTTCACCAGCCTGTTGTGCTCCGCAGACGAGATTGGCGGCTTGCACGTGCTTTCGCGCAAATCTGCAAACGGGGACGGCGCGGTCGGAGAGTGCGCGGGCTCGCATATGCGCGGGGATGGCGCGATCGGAGAGTCCACGGGCCCGTAGATGCGCGGGGGTGGCTCTGACATGCTGCGCACCTCCGTTGCTGGGGGGATATCATCTACGCCGATGAAGTGGCTGATGAACGTGTTCTTGGTCACCGCCACGTGTGGCTCCACGCAGAAGCTGCGCGCGGGAACAAGCGACCTTCCGCGGGTTGCAGCCATTGCCCAGAAGCACTTACACGACCTCGCAAGAAACAGGGTGTCTGAACAAAGTAAACTTTGAGCCCACACGACTACGGATATAACCAATGCGAAAGAAACTTGGAGAAGCAACTTCGAACACACATGTTCGCAACGATGATAATGGACAACTGCCCGAAACACACTGCAATCTTGTCGGGTGCGTTTCGCATACCCATCGGGTACTCTCGGGGTGCTCTCGGGGTGCTTGCGGGAGGTCTTCCAGTTATCGCTGCTTGGAGTTCCCTCAAACATCGCTACGTTGAAGGCATCCCTTGTTGGGTAGTAGGGATAGTAGTAGTATAGTAGTAGTAGTAGTAGTAGTAGTAGTAGTAGTAGTAGTAGTAGTAGTAGTAGTAGTAGTAGTAGTTGCTGTAGTAGTAGTAGTAGTAGTTGTAGTAGTAGTAGTAGTAGTAGTAGTAGTAGTCGTCGTCGTCGTCGTAGTAGACGTAGTCGTAGTCGTAGACGTAGTCGCAGTCGTCGTCGTCGTCGTAGTAGTAGTAGTGGTAGTAGTAGCAGTAGTAGTAGTAGTAGTAGTAGTAGTAGTAGTAGTAGTAGTAGTCTTCAGCAGCAGGGGGAGGATGAGGCCAGGGGGGGGGGGGAAGGGAGACAAATGGGCGCGCCTCCCAGAGAGGGCACAGCAGAATGCGAATGCTCTTTTTTCTGCCACGAGCCGTGGCGCTGCTCGTTTGCTCTCCGCTGTCCAAGAGCTCAGGCCTCCCACAGCGCCACCTCTGCCTCGAGGTAGCGGTTCCGCTCCTGGAGGCGCTGGCACTGCCTCTTGTTCTTGGTCACCTCCTAGAGGCAGGCCGTTTTCCACTGTCGCCATTGCTGACCAGGGGCAAGCGGTCAACGGTAGCGCTCTGCTGGGCGAGACGCGAGTCGCACCCAGCAGTCGCTACTGAGATCCGCCGCCCGTGGTCTGAAGTGGCACTGGTTAACAGTATGCCAATGGCCTCGCTGCACACCCAGTTCTGGCGCAGGTCCTTCTTGGCCTTCGCCAGCGCCTTCTTCGCCGCGGCCGTCTTCGCGTCCGCTTCCTCGCGCCAGCGCTTCTCCTCGTGGGGAGACAGGCGCGTTTTTTTTTTGTTTTTTTTTTTTTTTTTTTTTTTGTTTTTCGTGATGTGTTGCCGTGTGTGAATTGGTGTAACGAGCGAGGGTTCTTTATGTCGGTCCTGCAAGTAGCCCAGCTTCAGCGTCTTGGTCTGTGCCCAAGCCGTTTTCGTCTCGCTCTTCCAAGTCTTGGCCTCGTTCTTCGCTTCCTGGGCGTTCCTCATGTGCTTGTTGGAGCGCCTCCTATGGGCACGTTACGAAAGAGAGACGTTACCCAGTGCCACGCAGAAGCAGCACGACTTGGAAACACAGTGCAACACTCGCGTGTTATGTTGCGTTCTCGAATCGCGCCGCTGCTGCGCGACGCCAATTGGATGTTGGGTTGTGGTGTGTTTTTTCACACATCATGGTCTTGAGGGCGTCTTCTTTCTTGTTGTGCTGCTCCGTTGCTTTGCGGACCGCCGCGCGGACCTTGTCCAAGGCTGCTTTGCGGAAGGTCGCCACCAGCGTTTTCACCCGTGGTGACTGTAGAAAAGCTTGAAGCCGTTGTTTGGCCTTGTAGGCTCGGTTTTTTTGCCAGCTTTCTCTTGTACTGCTCGGTGTCCTTGTCTGGAGTGCCCATGGCTTCAAGCAGTGGCGTTTTGGCGGGGCTGAGAGCCTAAAAGCTTTTGCCCGCTACACCCTCCCATCCTCTTCTCATATTCCTTCCTTTCTTCCTCCCTCATTGGAGCGCAGTGCGATTGCAATGCAATGAGATTGCAATGCAACGCGATTGCCATGCAATGGAATGCAATGCGGAAGGGAGGGAGGAGGATGAGTGAGAAGGAAGGGTGAGGGAGAGTGGAAGGGAGGAGGGGGAACAGGCACTCGGGAGAGAGATGGGGAGAGATTTCCCCAGGGCATTCGGACGTCGCTGTGTCTCCTCCTCCTCCGCCGCGTCCTTCTTTCTCCCATCCTCCTCCTCCTCCTCCTCCTCCTCCTCCTCCTACTGATCCTCCTGCTCCAACATCTGCTCCAAGTCCTGCTCCTCCTGGACACCGAAGTACGTTGAATTTACGATATATGTCAATGTCTCCCTGAAGTCTCCTTCGTGTACTTGTTTTTTCTTGTTTTCTCCGGCCCTGAAAAATCTCCAAAAACCATCCGGCAGGATAGAGTTGACTGGGGCCATTCCAAACAGAGATGTCCTCAAAGCACAGATGTTTGAATGGATTCCAAACCAGAATGTCGTCAAAACAGTGTTGTATGTTCTTGACAAAGGGCATCCCAAAATGGAATGCTCCCAACGCTTCCCCGTTTGGAGCGCCCCAAACACGGGTGCAGTCAAACAGTGCGGTGTGTTGTTAACAAGGGGCATCCTAAAAAGGGATGCCCTCAACGCAGCGATGATTGAGGACATCCCAAACAAGAATACCTTCAAACAGTGCGGGGTGATGTTGATAAGGCATCCCAAAAAGGGATGCCCTCAACACAAAGATAACCTTCAGCAAGCTCCTCTTGGGTTCTTTTGGTTCCTCACCGATCCCCTTCATATCTCTATGGGCTTCCTGTTGGCTCCGTCTCGACGAATCCCTTTTGTAACAAGTTTTCAACTGATTTCCTTTCGTGGTGGATTATAATACGACTCACCGTTGTAGAGGATTACAAATGGATTCCTTTTGTAACGAATTACAGATTAATTCCCTTGTGGGTGATTTCCAAAGGGATTCCTTTGGTGGCGGAATACAAAGGGATTCCTTATGTGGCCGATTACACATTGATTTCTTTTGTGACGAATTACAAATCAATTCCCTTTGTGGCGAATTACAAAAGGATTCCTTTTGTGGGGGATTACAAATTGATTCCTTTTGTGGGGGATTACAAATTGATTTCTTTTGTGGCGGATTACAACTTGATTCCCTTTGTGGAGGATTACACATCAATTCCCTTTGTTGCGGATTACATAGGGATCTCTTTTGTGGGGGATTACACATTGATTTCTTTTGTGGGGGATTACAAATTGATTCCTTTTGTGTCGGATTACAAATTGATTTCCTTTGTGGAGGATTCCTAGGAGGAAACCAGGGAGAAAAAAAAAAAAAACAATGAAAAGTGTGAAAAGTATGTTGTTTTCAATGTTTTTGGTGTCGGAGACAGAGAAAAAGTATGAAAACACATAGCTTCCAGCATCCAGAGCTCCAAAACACTGTGTTTTACCATGTTTTTGTATTTCCCAATGCGGAAAACATGGTAAAACACAGCGTTTTTATCCACGAATGCTGAACAACGCTGTGTTTTACAATGCTTTCGGCATCGGGAAATGCAAAAACATTGTAAAACATAGTATTTTGAAGCTCTGGGTGCTGGAAACTCTGTGTTTTCATACTTTTTCTTTACCTCCGACACCAAAAACATTGAACAAACATTTTTTTTTTTTTTTTTTTTTTGTTAAATATTTTTTTTTTCTATCTCTGGTTTCCTCCCAAGAATCCTCCACAAAGGAAATCAATTTGTAATCCGCCACAAAAGGAATCAGTTTGTAATCCGCTACAAAAGGAATCAATTTGTAATTCCCCACAAAAGGAATCCCTGTGTAATCCGCAACAAAGGGAATTGATTTGTAATCCTCCACAAATGGAATCAAATTGTAATCCACCACAAAAGGAATCAATTTGTAATCCTCCACAAAAAAAATCAATTTGTAATCCGCCACAAAAGGAAACTTTCACCACCCAACGCCATCGCAAGAATAAGAAATTACAGATGTAAGCAAAGCGAAAGAAATAACACCGAAAAACCAAAAACAGCACATCGTTAAATAGAACCATATTTTGACCTTACGGGTGGGGGGGGGGGCTGCGCTGTGCTGATAGTGGGCAGGATTGCCCCGGGCTGCTACGCGCTCTTCTCGGACTGCAAGGGCGCGCTCGACTGTTGCAAAGATCTCAGCAGGGCTTCTGGTGCCCAGATTCTTCGGTCACACCTGGAGCTGCAGGTGGCCGTGCATGGGGGCTTTGGCAGCCAGAGTTTTCACCGTGCGAAAGGCCACTTGACAGGTGGCCATGTGCGTGAGTGTGCGGTGGGACAGTTTCAAGAGACAGGCGGCGACGTGGCCGACGAGCTGGCCGAGCTAGGCGCGGCAGTCAACTTCCCAGATGATGACCGAGGATGAGGCTGTCTTTGCTTCCACAAGTTGTTTCCGCGGTACTCGGGGTACTATCCAGCGTGGCTGTGCGACGGCAATCCCGAGGGGCTCGACTACCGCTTCCCTGATGCGATGGTTTCGGGGCCGAAGCTCATGCCGGCCCCCGAGTTCCACTCCCTAACATGAGCGACGAACATGATGTGCTGTTGGCGCCCTGGAAGGTCGCAGGACGCGACTTGCTCGGAATTCCCATGGTCGGCTCGCATCGTGTCCTTTTGTGTAGCGCATCGTGTTGCCAGTATATCGGCGCGGAATCAAAGAACCACCGAGATGTCAGTCCAAGAATTGCTTGGAAGGCTGGGTCGGGTCGGGTGCAGAGACCCCCGGGCGTTTTCACAACCTCAGGCGCCCTCGGATCCTGCGCGAGAATGTCCGTCTGGCAGCCGACGTCTGGGATGCTATGGTGTTGTGACCTCGTCCAATTCCAGCTTCGTGCTGGTTCGATTGCCATTGCAGGTGCGTTCCTTCCTGGTCTATTGGGACTGCAGCTATGCTGGCCCTCGAGCGCGTCGCGCGTGTGTCCCGCCCAGACTGTTTTGCCCGTTTCGTTTATTGCATCGGCATCGCGAGTGCGAATGACATGTATCTCCAGGTGCACTGGGCCGTCCTTGCTGTGGCCGACGAGCCGCTGTGGAACAGCTCCCTGGACGTAGAGCTGCGACCCGACGACTCTGTCCTCGTCGGGTCGTTCGGCCTTGCGGTGGTGAGCGCGGGCCTGGCGCAGGCCTTTCGCCGTCTGCGCCCCGCGGCCGAGGTGCGCCGCTTGTCGGGGCCGAACGGGGTCCCGTGCCCAGGCAGCCGAGACTTTTGGAGCGGGCGGCTTCGGGCCCCGCCCTCCAAGGATTCGCTTTCAGGGTTGGTTGCGTGGCTTGTGTGCTTTTCCGTCCTGCTGTAGCGGGTGCTCTGACTCCAATTGCTTCTCAGCTGCTGCTCGATCGCTTGCTCTTTCGCTTGCTCGCTCCTCCTCTTCCTGCTGTTGCTCCTCGCAGCTCATCCTCCTTGACCTCGCCGCCCTTTTTGCCGCCGCCTTCCTCCATTTTTTTTATGTAATGTCCTCCGTGTCGCACCCCCAGACGTGTCAGTAGAGGGCGGGCCTGGCGTCTCGCATGAGACCTCCTCGCCGTTTACATGTCTGATCTTGCAGTTGGGAACTTGTAGCAGTTTCACGGATGGAGGGCGGGTGGTTTTCAGCAGGTGGCTCTTGTTTTAGCCCCGCGCGCGATCGCCTTAAGGGCTTGCAGCAGTTTCTAGGCTGGGGGGCGGGGCCCTCGCAGTAGCGCCGCGCGTGTTCGTCTTATTCGTCTTAACTGTTTGCAGCAGCTTCTGGGACGGAGGGCGGGCCGTTTTCACTGTGTGGCCCTCGCTGTAACGCTGCGCGCATTCGCCTTAAACGTTTTTTTCCCTACAGTTTCACGGTGGCGCGCGGCTTGTCTTAACATGTGGTTCTCACTCTAGCGCGGCGCGCATTCGTTTCAAACACTTACAGTTGCTTCAAGGGTTTGTATGGTTAGCGTCCCAGGGACGGTGTTCTGGGACGGTTTAAGATTGCCGGGTCGCAACAATCACGCTGATTCGCAGTGTTGGAGCACCAGGAATGGCCTTCTGGCGCGTTAGAGGATTGTCAGGACGTAGCGGTCACGTTGGTTCGAGGTGTTCAAGTCTGAGGAAAGATGCTTTGGCACGACTAAAGAGTCTCAGAAGGCTTGCTCTCCAATGGGGCATTTCCCGCAATGGTAATAATTTTTTGTAGGGGGTGATGAAAAAGGTTTTTTTTTTGGAGGAGGGATGTACTGCAACTCCTTTGATGCGTTTTGGATTTGCAGCGATCCTCCTCCTCCTCCTCCTCTTTCCCCCCTCTTCTCCATGTTTCTTCACTTCCACAGCCCTTCACACACACACACACGCACTCTCTCTGTCTCTCTCTCCCTCGTTCCCCCACTCTTTCTCTCGTTTCTTTGTCTTGTCCTTTCTCTTTCTCTTTTCCCCTACCTTGTTTCGGCCCAGCACAGCCTGGCATGGCTGCCTGGCTGACTGGCCGCCCCCCCGCCCGCCCAGACCCCCAACGAGACGTCTCCGCAACGTGTACCCGCTGAGGTTTCGACGCTCTCCCCAGGACGAGTTCCTGACGGTTCTGGGTCTGGTGAGGGCTCCCAGAGGTCGACGATGGCCCAAAACGTTCCGTGGTGGCTTCTTCATGGCGCGAGGAGGTCTGGACTTCTCCCTCCCTCCCCCTTCCTCCCCTCCATCCGGCCCTTCCCAAACGTGTTTGGATGATGTGTGCGTCGGCCATGCAGCGGCGACGCGCACGCTCGGACATCTTCTAGTAATGATTTTCGTGGCGGGCGCTTTCTGGCCATCCTGTTCGGGAAGCGATCTGCCAGCTATCGAAGACGCCTACGGCGAATCACCGCCGCCCCCTGCCTTTTTGGAAACGCCTATGTGGCCGAACGTTGAGGCCAGACCTGCCAAGCTATCGGACCACGTGTTCCCCGAATCGGTTTGGAAAGCCTTCGGGGAACACGTGGGCATCTTGAAGGTCATCTTGGCCGTCTTGGAGGCCTCTTGGGCAAGCTTTGGGCGATCTTTGGGGCTTTTTGGGCCGTCTCGGGCCAGCTTCGAGCCAACTTCGGCCATCTTGGTGGGTTCCTGGCACGTCTGAAGCCGTCGGAAGCCGTTTGGGGGGCCTCTATGGGCCGACTTGGGGCCCGCTTGTTCGGCTCCAGGGCCGTCTTGGAGGCCATCTTGGGCGTCTTGGAGGCCATCTTGGGCGTGTTGGAGGCCTCTTGGGCCCTCTTGGGGCCCTCTAGGGGCCATCTTGGAGGCCACTTGGGCCATCATGGGGCTCTCTTGGGGGCCTCTTGGGCGATCTTGGGGGCTTCTTGGGCCGTCTTGAGCCGTCGGAGAGCCGAAAAGGCGCAAATGCCAAAATCCTTCAAAAACCAAGGGAAAATCAATGATTTTGGCCTCTTCGGACTCTCCTGGAGGACCTCTTGGAGGCCTCTTGGGCCGTCTGGGAGGCCTCTGGGGGGCCTCTTGGGCCGTCTTGGGCCGTCTTGGACTCTCTTGGGCCGTTTTGGAGGCCGTCTTGGACCATCTCGGGCGGACTTGGAGGCCATCTTGGGCCATCTTCGCGATTTTTTGAGGATGTCCCGAGCGAAACGGCCGTTTTTGGGCATTGACAGACGGATTTTCGGGAATTTGCGGGTGGCCGGCGGGACGGGCCGAAGCCCACTGGGGAGTTCTTTTAGAAAAAGAACCAAAACCAAAACCAGCTCATCCAGCACGCCGTGCACCCCTGCAAGCAGGGGGCGGCGGATCTGATGGCCTTCGGCCCATCCCGCCAACGTGCCTGAGTTGTGGGTGTGAAGCCTATTCGATGTTCGTCGGGATCTCGTGGGGCGCCTCTCAGGGGTCTCTTGGAGGCAGTTTGGATGCCTCTTGGGGGCCGTTCCGGGGCCTCTTGGGGGCCCCTTTTGCGCGTCTTGGGGGCCTCTTGGGGCCTCTTGAGGGCCTTTTGGGGCCTCTTGGGGGCCTCTTGGAACCTCCTGGGCGCCTCTGGGGGCCTCCCGGGGGCCTCTTGGAGCGGAAGGCTCGGGTATTCGATTCATGTTCTTTCTTGTGGGCCCCTTTTAGGGCCGTCGTGGCGCCCTCTAGGGCCGTTTTGGGGCGGTCTCGGGGGTCGCTAGGGCCCTCTGGGAGCGTCGGGAAGCCAAAACGGCGAGAACGCCAAAATCATTCAAAAACCTGAGGAACATCAATGATTTTGGCCTCTTTGAGCCCTCTTGGGGGGCCTCTTGGGGCGTCTTAGAGGCCTCTTGGGCCGTCTGGAGGCCATCTTGAGCGTCTTGGAGCGATCGTTCGGCGACTCGGGGCCCTCTTGAACCGTCTTGGGGGGCCTCTCGAGGCTCTCTCGGCCCCTCTTGGGGCCTCCTTGGGCCCGAAGAAAGTCACGCGACAAGATGCGGGGGAGCCCAGGGGGCGCGTGGGAAGCCCCAGGAGATTTGAGAGCGAGGGGCCTGGGTCCCTTCAATAATCCTCAGGAGCGAGGAGTGGGGCCCAGAGCATCAGGCAAAGCACCCGAGGGCACGTCCGCTCCGTGCCCAGCGGCACGGTGGCGGACATGCTCGGGTCGGGCGTGCGTCTCCAACAGGTTCGCATCGTCTTGCGGTGGGGGCGTTGGTTCAGGAGTGCGCCCAGGAGGCTTCAGACCCTGGAGGATTCCTGACCTGGTGAGGGCGGCGGTGATATCCATGGCCGAGCCTCGATCGGCTTAGTTGCCTCGATACGCCCGTTTTGAAACGCAACACGTCCCGTGTTCAAGACGTCCGTGTGTCAATACGTTGCGTGTTGGTTCCACGTATTGGACCACGTTTTGGCGAATGTATAGCGTCGGACCTACGTTTTCAGCCTACGTGTTGAGCTCCGTATCAGTACGCTACGTGTTGCGTGTTGCGTATCGGTGCAACTAAGTCGATTGGAGTTCCATCAGCTTCCAGACCCTGGATTCCTTATCTAGGGGTTCCTGATCCAGTGTCCCCACCGTAGTATGTCCTTGTGCGTCCCCTCCGTACAGTCGACCCGCACAGTAATAAGGGTAGGCACCCCTCCCAAGGGTACCCTTGCATCCTTGCCTCCTCGGTCCATCCTTGGCCACCTTCGTTGGCCGCGCCCCGCTCGAAAAGCTTCGAAATGGGCGTCCAAGGCCCTTGCATCCCTATCCCGCGTCCTTGCTATACGGGCCGACTGTGGTATGTCCTTGTGCGGCCCCTCCCTACCCTCTCGCTGCTCCGCCCTCCTCGGCTCGGGCTGCGCTCCCCGGAGGACGCCGGCCCGCGGGGGGTTTGCCGGCCGTCGTCCCCGCCCTGTAGGAAGTAGGCTCGGGAGCACCTGGCGGTGCGGCGTCCGCCCCCCGGGAGGACGCAGGTGGTGGTGATTGTTGTGGTGGCGATGACGATGGTGGTGGTGGGGATGAGGATGAGGATGGCGGATGAGGATCATCTAGGCCTCCTAGATGGGGTCGGAGTGGATGGGGTCGGAGGATCGCGCCGCATCGCCGATGCATCGCCGATGCGGCTCGATGTAGGGCCCGATTTGCTTCACGTCGACGTCGCCAATGCATCGCCGACGTCGACGCTGCATCGCCGGGTGCATCGCCGATGCATCCCCGATGCATCGCCGATGCATCGCCGATGTATCGCCGATGCGGCGCGATCCTCCGGCCCCATCTACTCCGACCCCATCTAGGAGGCCTCAAGATCAGGAGGATGAGGATGAGGATGAGGAGGATGATAATGAGGACGAGGATGCTGACGATGGTGGTGGTGGTGATGTTGTTGATGGTGGTGGTGGCGATGACGATGCCGATGCTGTTGCCGATGATGAGGATGATGATGGTGATGATGTTGCTGCTGATGATGCTGATGATGATGACGATGATGATGCTGATGATGATGAGGATTATGATGATGAGGATGAGCGTTATGATGGTGATGGTGGTGATGATGACGATAAGGAGAAGGACGAGGAGTTGGAGGAGGAGGAGGAGGAGAGGAAGGAGAAGGATGATTATAATGATGCGTAGAGAGGGCGAGGAGGAGCACACACGCACACTTTTTTGGCGTCGCGGCCCTGCGCTCTGCGACGGGACTTAGAAAGTCAATGCCAAGCAGCGGAACGCGCGCACACACAAACACACGCGCTACACAACCACACACTTACACTTACACTTACGCTTACACTTACACTCACATACACTTACACTTACACTTGCAATTGCACTTGCACTTGCACTTGCACTTGCACTTGCACTTGCATTTGCACTTGCACTTGCACTTGCACGTGCACTTGCACTTGCACTTGCACTTGCACTTGCACTTGCACTTGCACTTGCACTTGCACTTACAGTTACACTTACACGCACGCACGTTTTGACGTCGCGGCCCCGCCCGCGGCGACAGGGCGTATAACACACAACACAACACAACACAACACAGCACAGCGCACCACAACACGATACAACACAGCACAGCACAGCACAGCACACCACAACACAACACAACACACCACACATATATACAATTACACACATGCACAGGCTTACACACGCTTACACACACGTACACACATTTACACAGTTGCACACACTTACACATTCTCACACGCACTTACACATAGTTACACACACTTGCACACACTTGCACGCACGTGCACACATTTGCGCACCCACGCATTCACACACAAACTTAAACACACGTAAGCGCTCACACACACACTTTCACACACTTGCTTTCACAAGCACTTACGCCTACTTGCACACACTTACACGCATACACAGTCACACACATGCACACATTTGCACACACATGTTTGCACGCGCGTTCAAGAACACACACTTGCACACCGATGCACGCAGTTACACACGCTTACACCCTTACACAGACAGACACAGGCACATACGCAAACACACACACGCACACTTGTAAGCCAGCAGCGCAGAGGGTCCTCAGGCGCGGGCAGCAGATGGACGTGTTCATTGCGACCGAACATTTTCGATATCACGCACACAATCGCACACGCCCACGCACACGCACACACACACACACCTACACGCACCTACACACACTTACACGCACCTACACACGCCTACACACACCTACACACACCTGCATACACGCATACCTACACACCTACACACACCTACACACCCACACCTTCACACACCGACACACACACACACCTACACACAGCTACACACCTACCTACCTGCCTGCCTACAGCTCGGCTGGTGTCAAAGCTTTGACCTTGGGCTTCTTCGTTGCGGTGACAGGTCCTAATCTTCATCATGTCCTGCTGCAGGTGGTTGACTGCCTCCTGGAACGTGTTCACGGACTCGAGGAGCTGCGCGTTCTGGTACTGCAAAGTCGCAAGCACTGCAGGCGTGGTGCCTGTCTCAGCCGAGGGAGCTCCTCCAGGGGGTGCGACCTGCTGACGGAGCTGAGCTGGTGGCTGCGTGGGTGGCTGAGGTGCTGGCTGTGCAGATGGTGCGGCGGCGCGGACTTGAGGTACTGGCGCTCGAGGCTGTCGACCACGTCGAAGCGGAGCGGAGTCCTCATCGTCCGTCATGTGCGCATCGCCGTCCTTGTCATCATCACAAACAAGTGTGCGGCGAGGTCCTCGTAGTTCGCGTTACTCTTGAGCTTCTTCAGCAGACATCGCCTCAAAATGCTCCAACTGTTTTTTCTGCTGCAGCTCATGCTGTAGGTCTTCGCATTGTACTTGAGCTGCCTTTAGCTCTATCTCCAGATCGGTGTAGCGGGATTGGGCGTCGGCTAGGCGGCGCCTGCATCGGTTGACGAACTGGGTCTGCTTGCTCACTCTAGTCTGCGGGGACTTTGAGTGCACCATCTGGTAAAGGAGGACGGCATACTCTTCCTTGAGCGCCTGTATCTGATCCTGGGCTAAGTTCAGGTCAGTGGCCTGTCGAATTTGATGTTCCAAGTCGTCGGCCAGAGCGTAGGGAGGAGGGAAGATGAATCTGAGGGATGAGGATGACAGTGATGGGCAGGAATGAGGAGGAGGGAGGGAGGATGAGGAGGAGGAGGAGGAGGAGGAGAAGGAGAAGAAGGAGGAGGGGGCGGATGAGGAAGTTTATGAAGAGGATGCATATCAGCAGGATGGTGGAGGAGGAGAAAATGGAGAAGGAGGAGGAGGAGGAGGAAGGGGAGGAGGAGGAGGAGAAGGGGAGGGATGAGGTGTGGCAGGAGGAGAAGGAGGCGGAGGAGGAGGAGGAGGAGGAGGGTGAGGAGGTGGAGGAGGAGCAGGAGGAGGAGGATGAGGAAGAGGAGGAGGAGGAGGAGGAGGAGGAGGAGGTGGATGCGGGCATGAGTGAAGAGGAAAAGGATGATGAGGAAGCCGAGGGGGAATGATACTACGGAGAAGGAGAAGCTTTTCGAGACTTCGAGAGGAGCGGCCCACCGTCTTGATCTTGACAGTGGCCAAACGGCTGCCTCCTGGGCTGCCTGCGCCGCGCGAGAGAGAAGCCCCCGCCAGCATGCCGGGAATCTGTCATGCCAGGAAGCTGTCGGCACCATTCGACGAGAACTAAGACTGACCTTTCGCCGGAGTGACTTTTGGTGCGGGCCCCATGGGGTCCCCCGGTCGCCGAACGCGATGCGGCAATAGCGTCTTGCGCGCTCGTGTTTAGTCCCCCTGCGGCCCCCAGAAGACCGCGCACCAAAGGTCACTCTTACACAGGGTCACTCTTGCGTGCAGCCGAACCATCTTCGACCCCACCTCTCATCTCAGACATCCGGCTCCTCCAACTTTTTCGACGCGTGGGCCCGAGTCCCTCTTCTCTCGCGCGCAGCAGGGGTCCGTGCTTGGACTCTTGTTCGATGTCGCTCGCTCGCTCGACGCGTGGGCCCCGGAGGCCCAGACCACTTCGGCTTTTCGTCCCCGGTCGTCTTTGGGCGGCCCTGGGGCCCGGCGAGGGCCCCCGGAGGCCGAGAAAACAACCAAACATCGCCCGCTCCAAGTTTTGTTGGAGCCGCGGATCTTTGGGTCTCCTGTAACCCTGGATGCCCCCCCCCGTGCATCACCCCCCCCCCCCCGTTGCCGTTCGCCCGTCGGCGGGCCGCCCAGGCGCTGCCCAGGAATCCGTCAGGGCAGGAAGCTGTCGGCCCCATCTTCGGCCCCGCCTCGCAAACGAATTCCGCGGCGTCGGCGGTCTTCGTGCGGTCCCCAGGGATCCGCCCTGCAGGTTCGCGCCGCCTCGGCGCGGCGGCGGCGCCTGCCTCTGGGGGCTGCAGCTTAGACATCCTCTGGGGGCTCGCCTCGGGCAGGGATCGAGCGAAACAGTGGTTTCCGTGTTCGCTTTGTTGTCCTCGTGTTCCTCGTTCCGTCCTCGTCCCGCCTGCGCTGCAAAGCGAACTCGAAACGAAAACGGTCCTGGAAATCGCAGAGGCACCGCCTGGGTCGAGCCCTGGTTTCGGGCCTCGGGGGCCCATACGAGAACAGCCGACGCCGCGGAATTCACGTGAGAGGTGGGGTCGAAGACGGGGCCGACAGCTTCCTGCCGGACCATCAGAGCCTCGGGGGGGCCCACGCGAAGACCGCCGACGCCGCGGAATTCGTTTGCGAGGCGGGGCCGAAGATGGGGCCGACAGCTTCCTGCCCTGACGGATTCCCGGACAGCGCCTGGACGGCCCGCCGACGGGCGAACGGCAACGGGGGGGGTGATGCACGGGGGGGGCATCCAGGGTTACAGGAGACCCAAAGATCCGAGGCTCCAACAAAACTTGGAGCGGGCGATGTTTGGTTGTTTTCGGCCTCCAACACAGGGCTCATTTAGATTCCTCCGATTCGATTCGATTTGCTTTCGATGGCTTCCGATTCCGATTCGATTCGACTTGGGATTTCGATATGGGCTCTGATTGCTCAATGGAGGCCTACTAGCCTGCCGATTTCCGCCGATCCGACTTTCCCGACCTGGCTGCCGACTTCCTCCGATCCGATTTCTTTCGGCTGCCGATTCGACTTATCGATTCGATTCTGGTTTCTTCTGGCAAGGGGGGGCAATACACGTGGAGGGTGAGGATCATAATGATGATACTGAGTATTATGATGATGACGATGATGATGCTGCTGATGATGATGGTGATGATGATGATGATGATGATGGTGGTTGTGATGACGATAATGATGATCTTCATGATGATGCTGCTGCTGCTGATGATGATGGTTGTGATGACGATGATGCTGATCTTGAAGATGATGATGGTGGTGATGATGACGATAATGAGGATGTTGATGATGATGTTGATGAGGATGAGGAGGAGGATGAGGATGAGGATGATGATGATGCTGTTGATGATGATCATGCTATTGTTGATGCTTCTGCTGACGATGATGCTGATGCTGCTGCTGCAGATGATGATGCTGATGCTGATGCTGATGCTGATGCTGATGCTGATGCTGATGCTGATGCTGATGCTGCTGATGATGATGATGATGATGTTGATGATGACGATGATGCTGATGCTGATGCTGATGCTGATGATGATGATGATGCTGATGATGCTGCTGCTGCTGATGATGAGGATGATGATGATGAGGATGATGATGATGATGATGATGATGATGATGATGATGATGATGATGATGATGATGATGATGGGGATCGAGGGTTACAGGAAAGTGGCCCGAGAGGGGCCCCAAACGGTCCCCCCCCCCGCGGGCCCGAAGGGGGCGCGAAGGGCGCGGGTGTTTCTGCACCCCTCGCTCACAAACAATCGGCGGCGAGCGAGGGCGGGAAGTGAGAAGGAGAAGGCCTTCTCAGAAGGCTCGGATCGACGAAGACAAAACCGCATGAACATAAACTGTTGGCGCTCCGCGCGGATTTCTTGGATCTGCGCTGGGCCCGCTCCGCGCGCCAGGGAGGGGGGTTCAGCGCGGATCCAAGAAATCCGCGCGGGCCTCCGAGTTTTTACGTCTATGTCATTGCTTGTTCTCCTAGAGAAGAAGAAGGCCTTCTCAGAAGGCTCGGAAGTCCCCCGGCCTCCTGAGAAGTTGTCTAAGCTGTCCCCGAAGAAACAGAAAAAACCTTTCAAAAGGCGCGAGGGCCTCTGAGAAGCCCGCCGCCCTCTGAGACTCTGGGAAGGCCTTCTCCTTCTCACTCCCCCCCCTCGCTCGCCGCCGAAACAGACCTGTCAACGGACACCCGGCCCTGGCCAGCTCTTCTTCGAGGTGCGTCCAGCTGTGGCCACCTCGGCCCCCCGTGGCCGAGGCAGCCACGCTCCTGCCGCGGGAGCAGCGGAGGCTCCACGGGAGCTCCAGGCTGGCTGGCGCAGAGGGACCTCCGGGAGCCTCCCCAAGGGCCTGGCGCCGCTCCCGCGCTCCCGCGAGGGCCGCTCCTGTGCCGCTCCCGAGGGCACTCCTGGGTCCCCAGGCCTCCTCGGGTGGCGAACAGAAGTCGCGACGGGAGGCTTCTCTTGAATTTCGGCCTCCGGGGGCCCTCGGCGCACTCCCCAGACCACCTCGCGTGGCGAACAGAATCGCGACGGGAGGCTTCTCGTACATTTTCGGCCTCTGGGGGCCCTTCCCGGGCTTCGGGGCCGTCCAAGAAACAAGCGAATCGGGACGAAATGCCGGTCCTGGGAAAGGGGTCCGGGCCTCTGCGGGTCTGGGCGCTCTCCTTGGGCCTCCCCGGGGCCGTTCCTTGGGCCCTCCCAGGCGCCTCCTCTCTCTCTCTCGAGTTTTTTTTTTGTTTTTTTGTTTATTGTTTGTTTGTTTTGTTTTCTTTCCTCCCGAGCGATGCACATGGTTAATTTCGGATTATTCGAAAATCCATTGTTTTTTTTGGGGGGGCCAAGATCCTTTCATTTCTGCTTGTTCTATCCTGGGCCTCTTCCTGGCCACTAGGGGGCCTGGAACAAGCAGAAACGAGCACACCTGGACATGAGCACGATTAGACACGAACGACGTGTACAGCTGGCGTTCCCCCTGGGGTGCCGGGGGGGGGGCGGTGACGTCACGTTTCGCGCCGGCGCCGCCTGGGAATGCCCAGGTCGGGAGCCTTGATACGGGGGTCAATACAGACGGGGGTCAGCCAAGGCGCCAGATCCTGCAGGATCCTGCGAAGACCCCCTCTGGCTGACCCGGGTTAGGGAGCCGCTCGTGGCCGCGAGGCGGCCGCACATGTTGACTGACCCGGGTTTGCGAAGATCTGCGTTGCAGTTTTTTTTTCCTGCATTGCAGTTTTTGGTTTCCTGCTGACCCGGGTCTGGATTGACCTGGGTCAGAAGATCCCCGACCAGGAGCAGCCAAAGACAGCTCGGAGGTCAGCACGAAGCACGACGTTTTACTCTGAGGGGGGGGCGGAGGGGGCGGCCGGGGCCGGGTGAACGGCCGCCATCGCAAACAAAATGAGAAACGACATCTTTTGGTCTCTGTGGGCCCCTGACGACAACGACGACGACGACGACGATGACGATGACGACGGCGACGACAACGACAACGACGACGACGACGACGGCGGCGACGACGACGGCGACGGCGACGACAACGACGACGACTACAACGACGACGGCGACGACGACAACGACGACGAGGACGAGGACAAATGACGACGACGACGACCACGACGACGACGACGACGACGACGACGACGACGACGACGACGACGACGTCGACGACGACGACGTGGGCCTCGACGCGCCTCGCGGCCTCGGCCTGGCGGGTCGCCGCGCCCTGGGCGCGCCCGCGAGGGCACCCCCGACAGCGGCCGAGCCGCGCGGCCGAGCGCCCCCGCCGCCGGCAGCGGCGGGCCGGCTCTCTCTCCGCGCGCGCGCGCGGCCGCCCGCAGTGGAGCGCCGAGGAAAACCCCTGCCTGCCTTCTCGGGGGGAGGGAGGGCGGGTGGTGGGCATGGGATGCGTGTGAAGTCCGCTCATATCATCATTATATCCTTGTCTGCCGCTGACGTGTCGGCTCAGGTATTGGTACAATATACCGCGCTGCCTCTATCGCAGCGCCCTGGAGAAGGACTCGCGACCCGCTTGCTTTCCTACCTCTACCTACGGGATATTGTGTAGGTTCGACTCTTTGGTCGTTAACCTGCATACACAGTGGCAGGGGAGGCCGAGGGGGGAGGGATGGGGAGGGAGGGTGACGATGAGGATGAGGATGGGGATGGGGGTGGGGATGGGGACGGGGATGATGATGATGATGATGATGATGATGATGATGATGAGGACGATGCTGATGCTGATGACGATGATGATGATGATGATGATGATGATGATGATGATGATGGTGAGGATGATGATGCCGATGATGATGGTTCTGATGATGCTGATGGTGTTGATGATTATGATGCTGATGTTGCTGATTATTTTCATGGTGGTGATGCTGTTGTTGTGGCTGAGAATGATGCTGCTGATGATGCTGATGCTGCTGCTGCTGATGCTGACGATGATGATGCTGACAATCGTGAAACTGTTGATGTTAACGATGATTATGATGGTGATGATGTTCATAATCATGATGATGATGCTCACGCTGATGCTAATACTGCTGATGCTGGTGATGGTCGTGATGATGATGTTTTTGCGGCTGAGAATGATGCTGTTCTTGATGCTGATGCGGGTGATGACGATGAGGATGGTGATGATGATTGCGATTACGACGATGAGGGTGATGATGATTATCGCGGTGATGATGCTGATGATGATGCTTCTGGTTATGATGATGGCGACGATGATGATGATGATGATGAATCTGATGCTGGTGCTGATGCGGATGATGATGGGGATAATGCTGCTGATGATGATGCTGCTGCTGATGATGATCATGGCGATGATGATGATGATGATGATGTGGAGGATATGGATATTATGATGCTGGTGCTGATTATTAGGATGATGATGATGATCCTGAATATGAGGACGGGAAGGATGAGGATGATGATGCTGATGATGCTGATGATCCTGGTGCTGATGCTGCTGATGATGGTTCTGGTGATGAATCTGTTTTTTTTTTGTGGCAGAGAATGATGTTGCTGCTGATGGTGCTGTTGCTGATGATGCTGGCGATGATGCTGATGATGGTAATAATGATGAAAATGATGTTAATGATGCTGATGCTGATGATTATGATGATGATGATGATGATGATGCTGTTGATGCTGATTGTGATGATGGTGCTGATGATGATGTCGATGACGATGCTGGTTTTGATGATTGGGATGATGATGATGCTGATGCAAATGATGCTGCTGCTGCTGATGATGATGATGATGATGGTGATGGTGAGGATGGTGTTTTTGCTGCCGGGAAAGATGCTGCTGATGATGATGCTGATGCTGAGGGAAGGCAGGACCGCTGATGCTGCTGATGCTGCTGCTGATGAGGACGAGGACAGGGCGGAGGGTGAGGATGAGCATCAGGACGAGGATGATCATGCTGTTGATGATGAGGATGATGCGGATGCTTCTGATGATGATGATGATGAGGACGATGATGATGCTGGTGATGATGATGTTGATGATGATGATGCAGATGATGCTGCTGAGGACGAGGGTGAGGATGAGGATGAGGACGAGGATGCAGATGCGGATGCTGATTATGATGGAGATGATGCTGATGCTGCTGCTGATGATGCTGATGGTGGAGATGATGCTGCTGATGAGTATGAGGATGCTGATGATGATGGCGAGGATGCGGGCAGTGATGGGGATGGGGACCAGGATGAGGATAAGGATGATGAGGCTGATGCTGATTATGCTGGTTATGATTATTCTGATGCTGATGCTGAAGAGGATGGTGATGGTGATGATGCTGATGCTGATGAAGATGCGGACGCGGATGAGGTTGAGGATGCTTGGGATGCGGATGCTGATTCGGATGATGATGCTTATGGTGTTCATGCCGATGATGATGCTGATGAGTATGATGATTTGCATGGCGTTTCTGATGATGATGCTAAAGCTGGTGACGCTGCGGGTCATAATGGTGATACGCATGATGCTGACGATGATGAGGATGATGCTGATGCTGAGTCTGATGATGACGACGGTGATGATGATATTGAGGATGGTGACGATGGTGATGAGGATGATGATGCTGATGATGATGACGATGATGATGCTGATGATGATGATGCTGATGCTGATGCTGATGATTATGATGATGGTGGTGGTGGTGGTGAAGATGCTGCTGCTGATGATGATGATGATGTTGATGATGATGCTGCTGATGATGCTGGCGATGATGATGCTCATGATGATGATGATGATATTGAGGATGATGACGATGGTGATGAGGATGATGGTGATGATGGCGATGATGATGCTGATGATGATGATGCTGATGCTGATGCTGATGATTATGATGATGGTGGTGGTGGTGATGATGCTGCTGCTGATGATGATGATGTTGATGATGATGATGCTGATGATGATGCTGACGATGATGATGCTGCTGATGATGATGATGATGATGATGATGATGATGATGATGATGGTGGTGCTGGTGATGATGATGCTGCTGCTGCTGCTGCTGTTGCTCCTGCCGCGCTAGGGGCTGGCGCACAGGGCCAGTAACGAGGGTTGCCACGGTCTGGACCTTGCTTGAAACATGCGGCTTGCGTGCTCGGTTTCCCTGAGGCAGGCATTGTGTCGGCCTGTCCCCTTTGCAGCGGAGGCCAGTAGAGTGGATGTGCCTGCGACGCCGTCCTTTGTTCGCTCGTACGTCCTCTGTGTCGCGTCTGCGTCACGCTCCGTGGGTGGTTTCCAGTGGTCATGCGACGAGCTTGCACAGAGCGAATCCCTGGATATTTGTGTGCTCGCTGTCCCGTTGCAGAGTTTGTCACGGCATGCATGTGGATCGCACTTGTTTGAGCTTATCCATTCTAAAGTAATTTTAGACGCTTCGCGTATTCCACCAGCCCATCCAGAAACGATGTCCAGGCGAGTTGAGGTGATCGGGGAAATGCGGCAGCAAAGAGGTGGACGGCCGAACCGTGCAAAGGAGTGAGGAGGAGAAGGAGGAGGTGGATGGATGGATGGATGAGGGATTGGGAAGAAGGACGATGAATAGGATGAGGAGGCGGAGGAGGAGGAGGAGGAGGAGGAGGAGGAGGAGGAGGAGGAGGAGGAGGAGGAAGAGAAGGAGTAGGAACAGGAAGGAGGAACAGGAGGAGGAGGAGGGCAAGCACAATGGCCAGAGGTCTCTTGGATGCCTCTCGGAGCCTCTTTGAGTATCTCTTGGGCGATTCTTGGTGGCCTCTTGGGACGTCTTGGTGGTCTCTTGGCGATCCTGGGGGGCTCTTCGGGGTCTTGGGTGCCTCCGGGGGGGCCTCTTGGGGCCGCTTAGGGTCTTCTTGGGGGCCTCCTGGGGGCCTCGTGGGGCCATCTTGGGGCCATCTTGGGACCTCTTGGGGCCCCCTGGGCGCTTCTTGGGACCATCTTGGAGGAGATCGGTCAACGAAGGGGGGTCCCTCAATTAAGGTCCCCCCCCAGGAGGCCAGAATGGGGCCAACACCACAGTAAAACACATGATTTTGGCCTTCTCGCCGAGGCCGTGTTGGACGCTCTAACTACCCGCGGCGCCCCCCGTCTAGGTCCAGGGGAGGGGGTAGGGGGAGGGGTCAAGACCCCCTCCCCGCCCGCAAGCCGTCTCGCTCACTCCCGCCCGCCCCCCCAACACATACGTAGCACCCGAGTCTGGCCCGAGCCTCAGCATATTCAGCAGTCGTCTTTGGATGGGTAGCTACTGGGGGCCGATCCGCCGCCGCCACCGCCGCCGCCTCCGCCGCCGCCGCCGCCGCCGCCGCCCGCCGCCGCGCCCGCCGCCGCCGCCGCCGCCTCCGCCGCCGCAGCCGCCGCCGCCTGCCGCGCCGCCGCAGCCGCCGCCGCCGCCGCCGCCGCCGCCGCCCCCGCTGCCAAACCGCCTCCGCCGCCGCAGCCGCTGCCGTCACCGCCACCGCCGCCGCCGTGCCGCCGCCGACGCCGCCGCCGCAGCCGCCGCAGCCGCCGCCGCCGCCGCCGCAGCCGCCGCAGCCGCCGCCGCCGCCGCCAAGTGTACTCTGTATTGTTTTTTGACAAGGATGGCGGGGGGGCCGCATCGGTTTGGCTGCGCATGTTCCGAATTTGGAGGCAGAGTGTGTTTCGTATTGTTTTTTGCAAAGAATGGTGGTGGGGGGGGGGTGTTGTCATGGACCCTGGTTGGCCCTGGGTCGCCTGGGGGAGGGGGTGTTTATTAATAGGGAACAGTGATACACCCCTCTCCGAAGGGGAAGAGGGAGGGGTGGAAGAGGAAACGCCTTAAACCACCGACGCCCAGAGGGCTGGTGGGATTGTTGCAGTTGTTGGTCTCATTCGGTGTCGTACGTGGGAATATCGTTGGATGCCGAAGGGTCGTCCCGAACCCACGCGCTCACAGTTGAGACCATGGGGCCTAGTTGGTTTGCCACCTCGTGCTGCCGACTCCGTTTCGAGCTCCCGCGTGCTTTGTCAGTTCATGTGGGCAGCTGTGGCAGCGGCGAAAGCAGTTCAGACGCCAGCCCTCGTGATTGCCAGTTGTGAAGCAAGTCTGCCGTACTGTCCTTCCGTGTGGGACATGCCAGAGGTCCAATGGATAACCGAGCATGCTCCCACACGTGACTTTGTGCTGCCAGCTACAGATTTCTCGGATATTATGTTGCGTGCTGCGTCCTTTGAGCTGCCATCCGAGTGTCTCGATGAGGCAGCAGTATCGCACGAGTGTGGATATGTCTCGACATGGCGTTGGCCTCAAGCGTTGACACGTCATGTTGCGAAAGCTGTTTGCAGGACCATATCTGGATCGGTTCAGAGAGAGGCGAATCCTGTGTGTGCCCGAG